TCTGTTTGTAGTCTGTCTGTCGAGATCCTGAACAGAATCGGGCCCAGGACAGAACCCTGCTGATGGCACTCCACTCCCCACTTCTTTCCAAGATGAAGACAAAGCACTGGTGAGCACCCTCTGGTTTCGTTCACTTAAACCAGTTACAGATCCACCTAACTGTGGTTTTGTCAGGACCACAATCAAAGCACTCATTATTATTATTTTCATGTCAGGAGCGACTTGAGAAACTGCAAATCGCTTCTGGAGTGAGAGAATTGGCCATCTGCAAGGATATTGCCCAGAGGATGCCTGGTTGTTTTGATGTTTTGCCATCCTTGTGGGAGGCTATTCTCATGTCCCTGCATGGGGAGCTGGAGCTGACAGAGGGAGCTCATCAGCGCTCTCCCCAGATTCGAACCTCTGACCTGTCAGTCTTCAGTCCTGCCAGTACAAGGGTTTAACCCACCATCGGGAGCTCCAGTACTAACAACAACAACAACAACAACAACAACAACATCTCTTTGAGGAGGTTACCTCCTGTCACATCAGCACTTTTAATTCTTGTACCCATTACTTTGGCCTGGCCCAGTTTTATTGTGTTTTAGTGTATTGCTTTTGCCTGTTGTTTATTTGCTTTATCCTGTTTTTAATTGTTTGATTTGCCTAGTTTGTATTGCTATGTTGTGTGTTGAGGCCTCGGCCTATGTAAGCCGCATCGAATCGTTCGGGAGATGCTAGCGGGGTACAAATAAAGTTTAATAATAATAATAATAATAACTTACTGACTGAAAGGTTTGCGGTTCGAATCTGGGGAGTGGGGTGAGCTCCCACTGTTAGGCCTAGCTTCTGCCAACCTAGCAGTTTGAAAGCATACAAAGGTGAGTAGAGCAATAGGTACTGCTCATACTATCATGCAGCCCACATGAGCTTGGAGGCATCTACGGAAACGCCGGCTCTTTGGCTTAGAAAGGTGGAGCTGACAGAGGGAGCGCATCCGTGCTCTCCCTAGATTCGAACCTCTGACCTATCGGTCTTCAAGAGTTTAACCCATTGCACCACCTGGGGCTCCTATCACTCCTGAAAGAGGAGACTCTACGGGACACTCTACCCTTTGTGTGAATTTTTTCCAAGCTTAGCGTCACCCATCCTATATCTCTAGTTTCCAGGGCCAAGTGGAGAGTTGCTGCCTCTCTTTTTCCTCCCTTCTTTTTTTTCCAGAGCTTCCCAAATAGCCAGGCTTGATCTCTAATTTCTCTCAAAGTTGGTGCAAAGAAGCAATGTTTGGGTCTATTGCACTCTCAGAAAGCAAGGGTGGCACTCTCTCAGCCTCCAAGGTAGGAAATTATTTTGGATGTGTGATGCTCCTTCTATATTGATCGCTGTGGTCAACTTATTTTCATGAAGTGACGAGTGGAGTGCCGCAGGGTTCCGTCCTGGGCCCGGTCCTGTTCAACATCTTTATTAATGACTTAGATAAAGGGCTAGAAGGCAGGATCATCAAGTTTGCAGACGACACCAAATGGGGAGGGATAGCCAATAGTCCAGAGGACAGGAGCAGGATTCAAAACGATCTTGACAGATTAGAGAGATGATGGGCCAAAACTAACAAAATGAAGTTCAACAGTGACAAATGCAAGATACTCCACTTTGGCAGGAAAAACGAAATGCAAAGATACAGAATGGGGGATGATGCCTGGCTCGAGAGCAGTACGTGTGAGAAAGATCTCGGAGTCCTCATGGACAACAAGTTAAACATGAGCCAACAATGTGATGTGGCAGCAAAAAAAGCCAATGGGATTTTGGCCTGCTTCAATAGGAGCATAGTGTCTAGGTCCAGGGAAGTCATGCTACCCCTCTATTCTGCTTTGGTGAGACCACACCTGGAATATTGTGTCCAATTCTGGGCACCACAATTCAAGAGAGATATTGACAAGCTGGAATGTGTCCAGAGGAGGGCGACTAAAATGATCAAGGGTCTGGAGAACAAGCCCTATGAGGAGCAGCTTAAGGAGCTGGGCATGTTTAGCCTGAAGAAGAGAAGGATGAGAGGAGATATGATAGCCAAGTATAAATATGTAAGAGGAAGCCACAGGGAGGAGGGAGCAAGCTTGTTTTCTGCTGCCCTGGAGAGTAGGACGCAGAACAATGGCTTCAAACTACAAGAGAGGAGATTCCATCTGAATATGAGGAAGAACTTCCTGACTGTGAGAGCCGTTCAGCAGTGGAACTCTCTGCCCCAGAGTGTGGTGGAGGCTCCTTCTTTGGAAGCTTTTAAACAGAGGCTGGATGGCCATCTGTCAGGGGTGATTTGAATGCAAAATTCCTGCTTCTTGGCAGAATGGGGTTGGACTGGATGGCCCATGAGGTCTCTTCCAACTCTTTGATTCTATGATTCTATGCTGGCGAAACATTACAGCTCCTGTTTTCTTCCATTGCTCAGAATAAAAATCACACCCTCATCCCTTTCAAGAAAGCGAACTTAATTTTATCCATTAATTCCCTATCAGCTTAAATACCGCACAGGGTGGCCTATATTGCATTAATCTCTTCCCTCCCTCCCTCCGCTGGCTCCTGGGGTCCTCAGGATACCTTAAATAAACCTAGAGGCTCCTGTATTTAAAACCACAAGCCCACAGGTACAGTTTAAAACACACTTTTTGAAATACCCCCAAACTCTTAAGGAAGGAGCCAGTTGCATTATTTTCTCCATTGACACACACACACAAAAGGGGTTGAAAGACAAGAGAAAGCCACCCTGTTCTGCTCTTTCCCGCCTCCTCTCTTTCACGAGAATAATGAACATATATCAGTCATATTGCATAAATAATATTAATTAAGTCATACCTCTAGAAGAGACTCCTTGAGGTCATCTAGACCCCTCCCCCTTTTTTACACTTTTTTTACAGAAAGTCCATGGAAAGTGCAGACATCGGCTGCACACTTTGATGTGCTTCACCCAGTCTTTTCTACAACTCCCATTATTCCCACACCATGCATACTCTTAGAAGGGACCCCTTGAAGTCATCTAGACTAACCCCTCTTTTTGCACAAGGGGCCAGAAAGTCCATGGAAAGTGGAGACATTGGCTGCACACTTTGATGTGCTTTGCCCATGCTTTTCTACAACTCCCATCATTCCCACACCCAACATACTATTAGAAGGGACCCCTTAAAGTCAGTTAGACTAAGCCCTCTTTTTTGCACAAGGGGCCAGAAAGTCCATGGAAAGCAGAGTCATTGGTTGCACATTTTGATGTGCTTCGCTCATTCTTTTCTACAACTCCCTTTTTTACACAAGTGGCCAGAAATTTCGTGGAAAGCGGAGACATCAGCAGCATAGTTTGATTTGCTTTGCCCAGTCTTTTCTACAACTCCCATCATTCCTATACCCAGCATATGATTAGAAGGGACCCCTTGGGGTCATTTAGACCATCACCCTTTTTTGCACAAGTGGCCAGAAAGTCCGTGGAAAGTGGAGACATCAGTTGCATAGTTTGATGTGCTTTGCCCAGTCTTTTCTACAACTCCTATCAGTCCTACACCCAGCATACCATTAGAAGGGACTCCTTGAGGTCATCTAGACTAACCCCTCTTTTTTGCGCAAGGGTCCAGAAAGTCAGTGGAAAGCGGAGACATAAGCTGCATGCTTTGATGTGCTTTGCCCAGTCTTTTCTACAACTCTCATAATTCCCACACCCAGCATGCAATTAGACGGTACCCCTTGAGATCATCTAGACCAACCCCTCTTGTCTTGCACAAGTGGCCAGAAAGTCAGTGGAAAGTGGAGACATCAGTTGCTTACTTTGAGGTGCTTTGCTCAGTCTTTTCCACAATTCCCATCATTACCATACACAGCACAACCATGGAGTTATAGATGATGGGACCTGCAGTCCTGCAAACGCTCATATTTCCCTGGCACCTCTGAATATCCAAATGCACCTTAAAACAACAACAACAGCAACAACAATGTAACCATAAAATGCAAACACAGAAACCTTGACCATTAGGAGAAGGTGGTCAGAGAAAGTCTCCAATTTCGCTGCAATACTATTATATTTTCTCACTTTTTCACTCTACAATCTCTCTTTCCTTCAGTAATATGAGTAATAATGTTCCACTGCGTTGAAGATGTTGCACTCAACCGTGTTTCATATCCAAATGCTCTCCATTTTCTCTCTCTTTCTGGACTTTGGGGCAAGAAGAAGCCACAATGGTACTAAGCTAGGTGGCTTATTCTTTCCAGGATTCCTAAGCCCTTGCGTGTGGGTTGCTAATTGGCTAACTTCCCATCTCTAACATGCTTTGCTATCACCCTCCATATTATATACAAGTGCCACAGGGTCTTAGTCCTTGGTTTGTGAAACTTTTCTACCTTTTGAACAAAGATTATTATTATTGTTGTTGTTGTTGTTGTTGTTGTATTCTGCAGGAGACTCAAAGGGTTTGCCTTGAACCAAACAGGAGCCATACTTGCCATAGACCATACCTAATGGCATTTAATCACCCTATATATCTAACTTATCGCTCTCATGTTTACTTATAGAGGTATCAATGCTCCGTCTTGTGCCGAAAAGTCTTGTGTGCCAACACTTTGTATCCCACTTTTATTCCTTAGTCTCATCTTCAACGTTCCATGATGCACATTGAAAAACACTGAAAAGTCTTATGTCCAACCCATGTAACCCTTTGCTATACTCGAATGCTCACTTGCCTCCAAACTATCACTTTATACCCAACTTTGATGCCCTAATTCCCCTTTGCCGTACTCCAATGCCCATTTCAAACCACAGAAAGCTCTCTCATTTCCAACCTACTACTTTAAACTCAACTTTGATGCCCTAATCCCAGTTTGCCAGACTCTGATGCCCATTTAAAACCATTTGGTTTGATTATGTATTCCATTGGCCGTATGTGGCCCATCCTTGGATTCACATCTGGCCTATCGATTTTCCACATTCAACCAAAGTCAAAGCCAACCATGTCTTGAAAGTGCGCCCAAATAAAATAGGAATCACTTACCGACTCAGATGTCAAAGAAAGGGGAAATTTGGCTCTGTTTGGGGTGCTCTCTTATGGCACCCCACCATTCAGGGTTTGGCAAGCGCCCGGCATCAAGTGTCAGGCTGCATCCGGGGAGAGAGCGACCAGTGATGGGATTTAGCAAAAGGGGGGTGGCACTGGACTCCAGCAATCCTTGGAGGCTAAGATTAGCCGTCCCACCGAAGCAAAGGCTGGCATGGAAATGGACACGGAGGGAGGGAGGGAGGGTGGCCACGCAGCAGCAACCTGTCAAAGGTGATTAAGGAAATCCGTCTGGCTTCGTCAAAGAGTCAAAGGGCAGTTGGAACCCGGCAGGTTGTGCGGAAATGTTCCCAAACACAGCCCTATGGGGTTGGTTGAAGGGGTGAGGAGGCCTCGGGGCTGGCTGACCCCTCTCTCTCCCAGGCCAGGAGTTTGGAAAATGTTTTCCTTGGGCCCAACCTAGAACCATAGAACTGTAAAGTTGGAAGAAACCCCAAAGGACATTCATTCCAACCCATAAGATAGATAGATAGACAGATAGATAGAGAGACAGATAGATAGTTCGATACATCGATAGATAGATCATAGTTGGAAGAGACCCTAAAGGACATTCAGTCCAACCCATAAGAAAGAGAGAGAGAGGATGGATCATAGTTGGAAGAGGCCCCAAAGGACATTCATTCCAACCCATAAAATAGATAGATAGATAGATGATAGATGATAGATAGATAGATAGATAGATAGATAGATCATAGTTGGAAGAGACCCTAAAGGACATTCAGTCCAACCCATAAGAAAGAAAGAGAGAGAGAGAGAGAGAGAGAGAGGATAGATCGTAGTTGGAAGAGGCCCCAAAGGACATTAATTCCAACCCATAAAATAGATAGATAGATAGATAGATAGATAGATAGATAGATAGATAGATAGATCATAGTTGGAAGAGACCCTAATAGACATTCAGTTCAACCCATAAGGAAGAAAGAAAGAAAGAAAGAAAGAAAGAAAGAAAGAAAGAAAGGATAGATCGCAGTTGGAAGAGGCCCCAAAGGACATTCATTCCAACCCATAAGATAGATAGATAGATAGATAGACAGATGAACTGTAGATTTGCAAGAGACCCTAAAGTTCATCCAGTCTAACCCCTGACAGACAAACACAGATAGTGGAATGATGGAAGAGACATCCAGTCCAACCATTAAGATAGATAGATAGATAGATAGATAGATAGATAGATAGATAGATCGATAGGATAAGTGAATCGTGAAGTTGGAATAAACCCCAGAGAACATCCAGTCCAACTCATAAGATAGATGATAGATAGATAGATAGATAGATAGATGGATAGATAGATAGATAGATAGATAGATAGATAGATAGATAGATAGATAGATGATAGACGAATCCTAGAGTTGGAAGAGACCCTAAAGAACATCCAGCTCTGAGTTGAGGTTGGACTGGATGACCTTTGGGGTTTTCATTTCAACTATGTATATCAGGCATGGTCAAACTTTGGCCTTTCAGGTGTTTTGGACTTCAACTCACACAATTCCTAACAGCCGGTAGTTTGCATTAGCCTGGTGTAGATGATACACACTCCATCCAATGGACCTGTGAGTAGCATCTATATAGTCCATCATCCCCACCTCTGTCCACCAGGGGGTGCTTGGACACCTTGCAATGGCTTCCCTAAAGCTGCCCTTGGCCCAAGCCATCATGGTTTGGGATGCTGAGCGCGGAAAAGGGACTGGAGGACGCATTTATTTGGCCTGGGCATCGGGCCCAGCCTGGAACCCTTCCAAGGACAAACACTCATCCTTCACAAAGGCAGATGGGCAACCTGGGAGCCTCGGCCTGGGGCCTGTAAGGTGCCTTCCACCAAGGACTCTCTTTTGGAGAGAAGCAAGAAGAACTGGGGGAAATTTTAGGGGTGCATCTATACTGTAAAACAGGGTCCTCAAACTACAGCCTGCGGGCCATATCTGGCCCACCAAGGTTGTTTACCCGGCCCTAAACTTTAGATTTGCCGTTACCACCAGACTGTGAACAGATTGTGACTTGAAGGCACAACAACAACAAACAATAGTCCAACTCCCAACAGTCTGAGGGACCATGAACTGGGATTTGGAGTATAGGAAATGATGTGCTTAGAAGAAACTGAGCAGAGGACACCTTCTGACCCCAATTCCTTCCCCAAAGACTTTTAACCTTTGGGGTTAGTGGTTACCGAGTTGGACTGTATTTATTTTGGAGTTTATTTAACCTGGGGAACTCTTGGGATGATCAACCAATCAGGGCTTGTGGGTGCTGTAGTCCAAAAACATTTGGAAGGCCCATGAGTCCTTTGAGCAGGCATGGACAAACTTTGGCTCTCCGGGTATTCTGGATTTCAACTTTCACAATTGTGGGAGTTTAGGTTCAAAACACCTGGAGGGTTGAAGTTTGCCCATGCTCCCCTTAAAGGTAAATGAAGCAATCTCTGAAGCGATGGCAGAGATCTTCCTGATCCGAAATGTTTGGGGCCAAGAGTGTTTTGCATTTCGGAATCCCTTTATTTGCATGAACTTACATATTGAGATCTCTCGGAGGCGGAACCCAAGTCCAAACACGATGTGCATTTGTGTTTCCCAGATATGTTGCACACCTCACCTGAAGGGAATCTTCATTAATTTTGCAGGTGATACAACGTTTGTGGACACTGAGCCATCGGGAAGCAAAGGTGCCATTCTCTCAGCCACCCAGGAGGACTGGTTGGGATTTTGGAGTATTACTGCGAAAGGAGACTCAACCTGTTTACGTGGAAGTATAGTCTATTCTATTCTGTAGACATCTAAGTGAGGTTAGGCTCCAGGTATTTTTGGGAAGCAGGTCAGAGGTAGCAAACCGGCACTAATTAACAAATTACTAATTAACTGGAGGCGGCGACATCCTGTGACGTTCCCTACAGACGTCAACCTGAATTCTGAAAGGGCTTATCATTGCCTGATAAACCGTTGGGGATCGTTTTTGGTGATGGGGAATGCATCTGCACTGCAGGGTGAATGCAATCTGCATGCCTCGATGCTATGGGATCCTAGGAGTTCTGGTTTGACAAGGCTTTCTGCCTTCTCTGCCAAAGAGGGTCAATGCCTCACACAACTACAAATCCCATGATTCCATAGCATTCAAGCTAGGGACAACTCAAATGGGGGTCACACTACTTTCATGTACCAGCTTAGGTCCCATCTACACTGTTATATAATGCAGTTTAAATTTATATGTGTCTAGTGGAGGCATGGCCAAACTTCCTCCCTCCAGCTGTTTTGGACTTCAACTCCCACAATTCCTAACAGCTAGTAGGCTGTTAGGGGTTATGGGAGTTAAAGTCCAATACACCTGGAGGGCCAAAGTTTGCGTGTATGTTGCAATACGACTCTGGAAACCTAGGTTCAAATCTCTCCTTGGCCACAGAAATGCATTGGTTGACTCTAGACGAATTTCCCTCTCAGCCTCCGAGGAAGGCCAGGCAAATCTCCTTAAAAGAAATGTTGCCAAGAAAAATAAATGATGGGTTGCCTGTGAATCAGAAGGAATTTGGAGCCTCACAGTAGCAACCAATAGATAGGTGATAAATATATATATTGGGGGGGGGGGGGGAATCATAGGGATAGATAGATAAATAGACAGATCAGAGGGATAGATAGATAGATAGATAGATAGATAGATAGATAGATAGATAGGTCAGATAGAGTGAGAGATCATAGAGATAGATTGATCGATCATAGGAATAGATCGATCGCTCTTAGGGATAGAGAGATCGTGAGATCGTAAGGATAGATGGATACAGAGAGAGAGATCAGAGAGATATCATAGGGATAGGTAAATAGATTGATTGATCAATCATAGGAATAGGTAGAAATATAGATAGCATATATGGATGGATGGATGGATGGATGGATGGATGGATGGATGGATGGATGGATGGATGGATGGATGGATTGGTGGATAGATAGATGGATAGATAGATAGATAGATAGATAGATAGATGGATGGATGGATGGATGGATGGATGGATGGATGGATGGATGGATGGATAGATAGATAGATAGATAGATAGATAGATAGATAGATAGATAGATAGATAGATAGATAGATAGATAGGCAGGCAGGCAGGCAGGCAGGCAGGCAGGCAGATAGGTGTAATCTATATAAATAAAAATGTAATGTTCGTTTGTGGGATTAACAGAACTAAAAAACCACTGGATGAATTGACACAAAATTTGGACATAATACAATGACTAACCCAAAGAGTGACCATCACTCAAAAAAACGGATTTCATCATTTCGGAGTTGTAGTTGCTGGGATTTATAGTTAACCTATAATCAAAGAGTATTCTGAATTCCACCAACAATGGAATTGAACCAAACGTGGCACACAGAACTCCCATGACTAACAGAAAACTCTAGAAGGGGTTGGTGGGCATTGACCTTGAGTTTGGGAGTTGTAGTTCACCTACCTCCAGAGAGCACTGTGGACTCAAGCAATGATGGAACTGGACCAAACTTGCCATAGATGCAGGCGAAACGTCAGGAGAAATGCCTCTAGAACATGGCCATATAGCCCGAAAAAACCCACAAGAACTGAGTGATTCCGGCCATGAAAGTCTTCGACAATACATAGTTTTCTAATTGTTTTATTTTTATTATAATTGCTGTTTAATTGTACTTTGTTTTATTCTATGTTGTGAATTGCCTTGGGTCTCATTGTGAGAAAATGTCATCAAAGCCCTCCTGACAAAGAGCCATCCAGCCAATAGATAGAGATAGATAAGATTCACACACAGAGAGATATAATCATAGATTTGAAAGGACCCCTAAAGAAGGGACAATGATATGTTGCCATGTTTCCAGAGTAGGCAAACCAGACACTCTCCACATCAACCCTGACAAAGAAACAGCAAGAAATACTGTTTACCCACAAGGATAAAGAAATTACATATATTAGAAACCAACATTTTCTCATTACTTTATTTTCCAGATCACCAGACTGGGCCACAGCAACCCGTGGTAGGGGATGGCTAGTACATTAGATAGATAGATAGGGTAGAAGGATGGATGGATGGATAGATAGATAGATAGATAGATAGATAGATAGATAGATAGATAGATTGATAGATAGATTGATAGATAGATAGACAGACAGACAGACAGACAGACAAATAGGATGGATAGAAAGATCAGAGA